AAAAGGAAGATTTACCAGATGTGGACAAAAAAAGTTTAGTATGTAAACAGCTGATGACTACAATTATGGCTGAAATCCAGTGATAAATCACAATTTGGTTAGGTCCATCCAATTAATGGAATTTACAGAGGAGTGGGTTCACCAGATCTCCACTGATTAAAGGGGTCTACTCTATCTTGTCTATTGGACTCCAGCCAATACGTAGCTCTTATGACATAATCAAAATGAGATTCCCAGCAGTTCGATGAAGAGTGAAATTCAAATTCTTTTGATCTCTCTCCATGGAAAGTAAGGGAGAGAATGAACATCACCGATTACTGACCGCATTCTGTATGGTGCTAAAAATAAAGAGCTTTACATTTTCAAACAGCTCAATGTAAAAATCAAAATGTATGTCATCTGACTTGGCACACACGGTTGACCTTAGACAGTCAATATAGTGACACTGACAAATGTTGTCTTTTTTTGGATGCATGTAGTTCTTGCCTATCTCTATTGAAAGACTTTAAATGAGTAAGCTATAGATGCCACATTTAACTGGTTGCTGAAAAAGAATGCATTGACTTTTCTAATCTTTTCCCCTAGTTCTTCAAATATAGGTCCTCATTTATGCATTTAGAGAGGGTGGTGAAGTATGAGGAGGGAGCAGGATGGACCATTTAATTTTTACCACACATGCACCTTTTCAACTTGAATTGGGCCACTGCACAAGCATCAAAGAGTATGCAGGTTCAGCTTACATCAGCATCTCTCATAAAGGAAGAGAAGTTGCAAAACTCAGTGACAGCACTAAAAATAATTATGTGGAATATCTCACTGTTTCTGAGACGTACATAGACTTTCCGGCATGATACAACTAAAATACCCATTAGCTTATGTAAGTATATATCAAATCTGAAATTCAGTCATTATATTTTGTTGTGAACTCTTCTAGTTTGTTGGTAAATAATAATAATAATGCATTACTATGAAAACAGTTAAAATGTAAAGAAAACTAGGCACTAAAGGACAGGTGCAGAACCCAGCCTGGCCCTCTACATTTCCACAAAAGGCCAAAAATGGACACCATTATTTGATGGTTTCTCAGTTATTCCAAAAATTAGAATTGACCGTCAGAAGGCTTAATCATACAGTATTTCATCAAGTCAATTATGACTTATGGTAACCATTTCCTGGGTTTCTCAGGTAGAGATTACTTAGAAATGGTTTACCATTTCCTTCTTCTGAGGGCACCCTAAGACTGTGCAGCTTTCCCAAGGCCACACAGGCTGGCTCTACCCACAGGAAGCATAGTGGGGAATTGAACTCCCAATCTCTTGCTCTGCAGCCAGATAACTCTGAAAGCTTAGTTACTGGTAATACAGTGGTGCCTATGTGATGAAATCGCATAGCAATTAACTTTGCAATCGCTTTGCAATGTTCCTTATGGGGAAAAATTGCTTTGTGATGATCGGTACCCTGTTTCGCTTACCGATCATCGCAAAGCGATGATTTTTTATCAGCTGATTGGCAGTTCCAAAATTGCCACCGGGTAAAAAAATGGCCGCCTGCTGTTTTCTGGAACGGATTCCTCGCTTACCGGGCAGCGAAAATGGCCGCCGTATGGACGATTTTCGCTTTAAGGTGAGTCTGAAGCCCATAGGAATGCATTGAAGGGGTTTCAATGCATTCCTATGGGCTTTTTAATATCGCATAGTGACAAAATTGCTTTGCAGTGATTTTTGCTGTATGGATTATCATCGCTATGCGAGGCACCACTGTATGTGCTTTCAGATAGCATTTTGGTTCTCCTACTTTTTGTTTCATCCGTCACTTTAACGTGGCCCCATGGAACATTTCTGAGGTCAAATTTGGTTGTTGGTCTTAAAGAAATCCCTCATCCATGCACTAAAGCATTGGGTTTGGTCCCTTCTGCCCAATTTCTCCATGGCGGAAAGAATGGGACAGTGTCATACCTCCATCATGCTGCTACTAATGGGGCAGCAGCCACCTGATAAAATGGAATTCTGTTGCACAACATTCCATATGAAACCAAGGCTCTGCTAGCTCAGAATCTGTACATTTTTGTATGAAAACTTAATTGTTTTCATCTTGAAACAGTTACTTTTGAAATGATGCTTCAATGATATCAAACTTCTTCCTCTGAACTATTTTTGAATCTGTTTAACTTGATATCACCCACAAGAATGCTGAACAACCGCAGGGGAATCTGTGGAATGGGAATTCAAAATCAACACAGAATCAGACTACCTCACAGAATTCTAGAACCTTAAGGCTATAAAGCAAATCTGACTTTTTATATGGTTAAACTGCATGATATTTTAGAGTTAAACCCTCCAAAGAAAGCCCTAGAAAATTTGCCAATTTCTCGTCTGACATATCATCCTTTAAAATTATTTGTTGCCCAACCAAAAGAAAGCATCAGAACTGTGCTGCCTTACCCTAGTATTGTATCCCACCCTCTAAAATTATCCCAGCCCCCAAACCCATTCCACTGTTAGCATTCCCAGTGCTAGTTATAATGAGAGGCCATCTCTCCCTACCCTTTGATGTTTTCTCTCCTTCCCTTCTATTATCCATATTCCCAGGAAAAGTTAAGTCAGACATGGTGAACTCTAGGAGGACCCATTTTTTCAATGTAAGAGTCTCTGAAAGAACTACTTCTCCCACAACCTACTGTACCAGGAGAAGTGGAGGGTGCCTTTGGGCTGCTCACTGTTGCTTCTTTAACACTGTCAGGTTTCCCAAACTTTTCCAAGTTGTGATCCCCCTTTTATAATAAGCATGTAACCTGAAACCTGCTGTATATTGTCTCCCTGCTTATTTAACTTATATGTAGAATACATCATGCAAAAGGCAGGACTGAATGAATCCCAAGCCAGAATTAAGATTGCCGGAAGAAATATCAACAACCTCCGATATGCAGACGATACCTATCTGATGGAAGAAAGTGAGTAGGAATTAAAGAACCTCATAATGAGAGTGAAAGAGGAGAGCGCAAAAAATGGTCTTAAGCTCAACATCAAAAAAACTAAGATCATAGCCACGGGTCCCATCACCTCCTGGCAATTAGAAGGGGAAGATATGTAGGCAGTGACAGATTTTATTTTCTTGGGCTCCATGATCACTGCAGATGGTGACAGCAGCCACAAAATTAAAAGACGCCTGCTTCTTGGGAGTGATGTATGGAAAGCGATGACAAACCTCGACAGCATCTTAAAAAGCAGAATCACCTTGCCGACAAAGGTCTGCATAGTCAAAACTATGGTTTTTTTCCTGTAGTGATGTATGGAAGTGAGAGCTGCACCATAAAGAAGGCTGACCACCGAAGAATTGCTGCTTTTGAATTGTGGTGCTGGAGGAGGCTCTTGAGAGAGAACAAACCTATCCATTTTGAAGGAAATCAACCCTGAGTGTTCACTGGAAGGACAGATCCTGAAGCTGAGGCTCCAATATTTTGGCCATCTCATGAGAAGAGAAGACTCCCTGGAAAAGCCCCTGATGTTGGGAAAATGTGAAGGCAAGAGGAGAAGGGGACGACAGAGGACGACATGTTTGGACAGTGTCACCAAAGCTACCAACATGAATTTGACCCAACTCCAGGAGGCAGTGGAAGACAGGAGGGCTTGGCATGCTCTTATCCATGGGGTCATGAAGAGTAGGACATGACTTAACGACTAGACAACATCAGCCTGCAACCTCCTGCCATGTCTGCATAAAAAGGCATTTTAATGAGGTAAAGAAAATACATTAACAAAGAATATTTAAAATTTCATTCTACCCTAAAATATTAACATTAATATAATAATACATAATTATGGTGAGGCTGTAGGCTGTACATCTGCCTCTACCACATAAAACTTGAGAAGGAAAAATGTCAATACAGTTTCAGTTTAATTTATTTTTTGGTGTGTGGAAATGACCCTCCTTTCATGTCTCCCCCTCAAAAAAAAAAAAAAAAAAAA